TTCTAGCCGACCTGTCGTGTGTACGACGGCCTTCCCTCATCGATGGACTTTCCCTCCCTCCGTCGCTTGCCCACGTAACTTCCATTAGCGTCTGACGGAGGCGCACACGCCGAAATGAAGCACACAACCGTTTCACCACGGTACGGCGACGATATCGCGTCGGTCGACGTCCGGTAACTTGCGTTCCCGCGGACATAATTCAACCGCGCGCACAATCGCTGCCCCCGTGTAATCTTGCGTGTACGCGCGTCGCGCGATATCGGCTTCGAATAGAGTCGTTGCTTTGGAGAGAGGATCGTGCTCTGCTGCTGCCTGCCCTGTTCCACGAACGGTTCAACGACGGGCGTTGTGTACACGACCTGTGTGCCACTGTTCGTTCATCGAACGAACGGCCGGGAACGGTTTCGTTCGTAGGCTTTTGATTTACATTAATTGATTCCGAGGCTCGATACCTGTGGCCTCGCGGATGAATGATAACCGCGACGAGATTCGATCCGCGCATGCATATGTATAATCCGCGGTCTGGATCGACGAGGAGTGCGACGAGGATCCAGAGGAGAGTCGATCGGCGATCGATCCGGCCCGAGAGAAAGGATTTTGATTTACGAGGGCAGAGAGAGAGAGAAAAGAAAAATGAAACTACCAACGGTCGCAGACAATATCGCGTCGCTTTTCGGTACGTGGGACAAAAGCGCGTTTATTAACACCGTGGTTTATGACATATGCTAATTAACGGAATAATGAATACATGGTCGAGCGCGAAGGTTAAAAGACCGCGTTGAACGATGGGAGGACGATGCGTTTAATTAACAATGTCATTGTTCAACGTTTGGAAAACGGTGCTGCCCGAAATGTAATTGCCAGTTTCGGTTCTTTCTCCCTTTTATCCCTCTGTGTGTGCTCCCTTCCCGCCTGTCTCCCCCCCCCCCCTCCTTCTCCCTCCTGTCGCTGCCCGCCGCTCAATCTGCGACATAGTTCCTTCTTGTTTTAATTAAATCCCTTTCGTTCGCCTATTTCTCGGGAATTTAAATATTTCATCGAGGATTACAACGATCCTGCCGCCGGTAAAACGAATATCCTAAAATACAGTCCACCGGGCTATCCATATCCAAAACCACACTTATTGGAGGGAACGTCTAGCCAAAACCGATGAGAAATTTGCCGCCGTTAATTCCCGTTTTGCCCGTTCTAGGATTAACAATGTCTGTTCCTCTCCCTCGATTTCGTGGCCAACCGTTGCTGGACAAGAGCGATGCGAGAGAAAGAACGATGGAAACGGGGGAAGAGGAGAGGTCGAAAGACCCCGTAGAAATTTCCAAATTGCTATTATTACACGTGTACACTGTCTCGCTATGGTCGTTTTACTGGAGAGAAGGAGGGAGGGAAAGAGAGAGAGAGAGAGACGCAGCACGCAGTCACGTTCGATCGAACGGAACCAGCGTGGAATTTCGCGGTAGAGAATTCCGTGGAGTGGTGTCGTACGTGCGGGGTAACTTTGTCTCGACCGCCACTTCGTTGTCGGATACGGATTATAAAAGTTCTCGGTCGATTTTAGTTGACCGCGAATCCATGCGCATATACGCGTCAGCCGGTGATCTACGGGGTGATCAAACTTCCCGGTTTGCTCGCTTTAAAAATGGACGAAATTATTCCCTGTTTCGCTCTCCCCTCTTTTTTCCTTGTTCCTTATTTTAGACACTTTTAAAAGAAAGTTTCCCAAGTTTCTGAATAAGATGGAGTATTCGACCCGTTGCTTCGCAATTTTTTTTTTCCTCTTCTTCTTCTTTTCCTCTTCTTTCTTTTTTCTTTTTTTTTTTTGGAACTACACGCGCCAAAGTTGGATATTCTCTTTTGCGACGTTACGACAGAGGGAATCCGTGAAAACGCTGTACGAAGATTAAAGTGTGAATTTTATTGCGAAGGCGATTCGCGCCCGAGCGAGATCCCGCGATGTGTGGGCATTATAAAAGCGTGCCGATATTATTAACGGTCGGGGATCGAAGGAAGTTCGCAACGCGATTAGTCTAGCTTACGCAATAATCGCAAGGGCAAAGCAACTGTACCATTAATCTCGGTCAATCTTCGACGAAGCGTTGTTCCGTGCTATCCGTGAAGTGTAATCTCGCACTCTTGGTCGATACTGTACGTTAAGAGGGATTAAGCAAGTCGCAGTTTGAAGCATCGGCGCGCAATTAAAGATCACCCCGTATTCGAACGCGGACCACGTTATCAGCACCTACGTTACAATTTTCCGTCCGAATGCCGCGCCGGCAGTTGCACCAGCGTCGAATCGACGCGATGCGCAGCCTGCGTGCAACTAAACAATGCACCCTGACGCCAGCCGTGGATGGCCGTAAATGCATCAGCATAAATCGTCCATTCGATGGAGCCATCGAGTGGCGGAGAAAAAGGAAAAGGACAGGCGTTAGATTGGTGGCCAGGAACAAAGGCACAGGTGAATATATTCTCTTTCCTTCGCTTTCCTTTTTTGTTTGCTTCTCTTTTTTTTTTTTTTTTTT